GTGGGCCAGTCCCCACGTGTGCACAAAAATGCTAAAAGTAGGAAAAAATTTCGGGGGGATGTTTAAATCCCCCCGAAAGTGCAAGAGCGTTCCGTGCGCATGCGCTCTGTAGCTGACCTCGCCGCCACCGCCTCCTCCTTGGAGCCGGCCAGGCAGGCGGGCGGGGGGAGGACCGGCCTCGCCGCCGCCAAGCCCGGCAAAGGGGGGGAGGACTTTGGTGGCGGATCCAGGAGAGAGCGGGGTTTGGGGAGGGGGGGCCTTAGCATAGTATAAAGCCATACAGTCCACCCTTCAGAGCAGCCATTTTCTCCAGGGGAGCTGATCTCTGTCAGCTGGAAATCAGTTGTAGAAGCGGGAGATCCCCAGGCCCCACCTGGAGGCTCGCAACCTTAACATGAATCTCCAGCTCTCTTTAGATACTAACATTCAACAATATTCTTGAGGTTAAACAGGCCCAGACCTAGCCCCTGTGTAACACATCTATGGTTGCCAGCCTCCAGGTGGGGCCTGGAGATCTCCCCCTAGTTACTTGGAACATACTTGTAGACTTTGTGTCATTTTGAATCTTGCCAGAGCTGGGTCGAGCTCTATTACTAAAGAAAAGAGGCGTAATGAAGTCCTAAGAAGCGGCAAAGCAACCTGGGCATGCCGTCGCTGCTCCTTCGGTTCGCACTACAGCTAGTCCTGAGCAAATGCCGTCTATTGCATGCTTCCTTCTGCACCTTCTTCTCTGCACCATGAGCAGGTGACCACATGAATCTGAAGAGAGACTTGTACTTTCAAGGACTATTAGGTCACTACTCAACTGGTGCAGTTGTCATTTATGCATGGTGGCAAAACTATTTTTCATGTGTATTAATTTTGGTTGTAAGCAGAACTGTACAAGAAGACAGTACTCTCTAGTGTGATTTGTACAACGCAACAGATTATTCTGTTTATTTTTTTTAATATAACCTTCAGGCAGGGGTCATTTCGTAGAAAAAGAGGTGCAGGGGTTCATTAGCATAACTCATTTGCATAACTTATTTGCATATGCCACACCCCCTGACATCACCGGAAGTGTGTCAGAAGGCAACACCCACCGCTTAGGCTCCACTGGACTGTTTTGGATTCCTAGCTATTGGGGGGGGGAACATGCAGATCTGTCCTCGCAGAGGAGGGAGAGCTTGTACCTGAATAAAGGTAAAGGTAAAGGTTCCCTTGCTCGAAAGTCAAATCCGACTCTAGGGTTGCGGTGCTCATCTCCGTTTCAAAGCCGAAGAGCCAGCGCTGTCCAAAGACATTTCCGTGGTCATGTGGCCAGCATGACTAAACACCAAGGCGCACGGAACGCTGTTACCTTCCCACTGAAGTGGTACCTATTTATCTACTTGCAATTTCTTGCTTTCGGACTGCTAGGTTGGCAGGAGCTGGAACTAGAGACGGGAGCGCACTCCGTCATGCAGCACACTCGGGTCTTGAACTGCTGAACTACTGACCTTCCACAGCCTGCAGTTCAGCGTCTTAACCACTTGAGCCACCGCAGCTCCTGAATAAAACTTGGTCTTAAAGGTTCCACTGGACTGTTTTGGGCCGGGGGGGAGCTCTGCAGCTTACCTGGCTGCTTCTTGCTCTGACTGAGGGCTGCTGGGAGCAGGGGGCAGGGCTTGTTGCATGTGCCCGCCCCCTGTGCTCTGTACTGCCAGAGCTCCGCTCTTGTGCGCTCCTGCAGGAAATGACCCCTGCCTTCAGGTGGTGGCTGGAGATCTCCTGGGATTGCATCTGATCTCCAGACGATCGAGATCAGTTCACCTGGAGAAAATGGCCACTTTGGAAGGTGGACACTATGGCATTTTATCCCATTGAAGCCACTCCGCTTGCCAATCCCTGCGCCTTCCTCCAGTTCAACCCCCTAAATCTCCAGGTATTTCCCAACCTGGAGCTGGCAACCCTAGCAGTGTGGCCTCAGGTGTTGCCATGCGAGTGTTAAACCACACGTGATGCTGGAAAGGAAGGGGAACTTAAGAGTCACTTTCCTGCACTTTATGATCCCACCCCACTCTTGATCCAGCTTGGGACTTCAGGCAGCCGCTATATTGTAAAGAAAAAAGCACAAAACATCCCTGCTGTTGCTTTTGTGTCATGGAGCTTCTGCCATCGGGTCTGGACTTTAGGATTGCCAGCCATGGGTTGGGAAAGTCATGTAGATTTGGGAGTGGGGCTTGAAGAAGCCAGGGTTTGGGGAGGGGGTGGACCTGAGCAGGGGAGGGTGCCATAGAATTAATCCTGCAAATTAACCATTTTCTCCAGGAGAACTGATCTCTGTCGCCTGGAGACCAGTTGTAATTTTGGGAAATCTCCAGGCCCCACCAGAAGGCAGACAACTCTAGGCCTGATTTGATCCCTAATGGTTCCAAATCTACTTCTCCACTAAGGGGGGAATCACCCAGGTAGGACTGATTTTTGTTTTGTCCATGGCCTTAGTCATCAGATAGTGCCCTGGGGGCCAGAACTTCCTGGAGTCACTCTCTCCTACCCAGGAGGCTGAAACTGGTTCCTTATTCCCAGTTCCTTCTTCATTCCTTATTAGTGTCTTATTCATGAATTCATCCAAAAACACTGAGTTTGAAAGCTCTGAACCCCAAAATAAGGTCTGGACTACCACGTATCATATTCCCCCAGGTTCACAGGACTCTCCCCTTCAAGAGGCTCTATCCAGGTGCTATAGAAAGCTGGTGCTGCCCAGCAATAAGGGCTTCACAGGCAAAGAGACCCTGTAATAACTCCTTGAAACCTGGAACATCTCTCTCTCTGAAAACCATTATGCCTAGGAGTGAGTTGTACCTTCGGGAGCTCATTGCACTGTTTCCTGGGCCAGACCTGGTTCGCCA